AGGAATGTGTTAGGGGCCTGAGGCAGGTGTAAGAAAAAAGGGCAAAAAAGTTAAAGTTCAAATGTGCAGAGGCACTAACAGGGACCTGTACACTGGGAGCTCTGGCCTCACAGTGTGGCATGAAACTGATGGCATATGCAAAGCTGAGTAATATTGGGCTCTGTGTGTATATGAGGGCAAATCCTAGACCTTCCACAGGCCTTGAAACCAAAATTACTGTTTGCAAGGCATGTTTGCAGTTCCTCAATAGGCAGACATCCACAGCCATATGGTGTTAGTGTGGAGTGTCTTCAATATTCTCTATACACACACGGCCACCTATAAAGGGCTGAGCAGGACCTTCCAACCTCACTGAATATGCATGAGAGGATTTGTGTAATTGGTTCACTTGCAAGGCCCTCCTAACAGGGCTGTAAAAATAGCTCCGAAGGGTGAAATCATAAATGGAAACAGCACAGGCATTTATTTTGTTAAAATGCATGTTTTGCTTTAGCAGGAAGACATTGTTGTGGTAATAGTTCTGTGGAGTTTATGCAAATCACACACAATCATTTTCCTCCACAACGTGGCACTTGGATGAGTGAACTCCTTTATCAAAAGGGACAGTAGTTTACCACAAATGACAGGAGAAAGTGGGACAATTAGATAAAAAATGTACCTTAAATGCAGGGAGAGGAAGCCTCACATTTAACATATTACCATGCTGCAGAATTTGCATACTGCTCTAATTAACACATGCTTTCTGTGTCACTGCTGCTGTTTCAGTTCTTTTGTAAACAGTCAGCAAATTACCTTATTTATAGCCATAGTTCTTAAAAACATGCCATAGATCATTTGAAAGTCTCTGACTGATACTCTAAATTTGGAGTTTAAAGATCTATTTCCTCAGTGGTCAATGGCCTGATGCTTTAATCATCCTCGATTTCTTTGAAACAAGAGGAAAAGGCAATTGTAGAATTTATTATGCACGTCATGGCTGTGTCTTTGCCTGAGAAACCCTATTCTACACCTTGTTGCATTTCAATTTGTAATTTTAACTCTGTTTCTCAAAAATAGAATTTGAACCTGTTCTCAAAAAGAAACTTCTGCTAACTATATGCATAAGCTTGGGAAAAAAAGGACAGGTCCTGTGGTTGTACATATGAACGGGCAGGTTCAGGGAGGAAGCTCTGGCAGATCATGTTTAGTGTAAAGTAAAATTAATTTATCTCTTTACATACTCTGGTCACTTCTTTTTTAACACTTGCATGATGAGAATGACAGACATTATGTCAGAAGACAGGCAAAAATACAGAAGGCAACAGAGGCATAACACCATAGAGAACGAAGCCAGGCAAAGTATTATTACATAGCATTCATTATTCTATATTATACTACTTACTTCATTTGTTATTATTGCCATAACATTTCTTAACTTATTTATAGGCCCATTTTCCCTTTCACCCTTCATTGGGATGTCTCCCAGTGGCTGAGAAATGCAGGAAAGCAGCAAAAGCACCAGACATTGAACTACTTTCCTCCCACTCTCCTTTTTGGACAAAAATTCACTAGAATTCACTACAAATGAATTTTAGAAGAGACAAAGCAATATGGTCTGTTGACAGCAGTAATAAAAATCCTTTCCCTGTTAAAAACCTGCTAGGAAGTTGCAGGAATGTTGTGTTCCTGGCACATCACACTCTCTGTGGCAGAATAATAATTTCTTTCTTCTTATTTTTCAAAGACCACAGTGCAAACAGGCTGGATTGGTAGCACTCCCTGCTGGCTACTGGCATCAGTAGCCAGGATAGCCTGTCTCCTGCATCTCACAGCCCAGATTTAACTCCAAGGCCACTCCTAATGGCTTTTTACAATATCTCACACTTCTCTGCTGCTTTACTCGAGCTTGTCCAGGTGAGCTTGCCCTGCTTTCTCATCAGTCACTGGTTCTTTTCCTGTTCTTCCCCAGCAATTTGGCCACAGAGAAGCCACAAACTTGTCCTTGCCCTTTCTGGGTGACAGCCTGAGCTGAAACAGGACAGAGGAGCACAAGGCCCTGGTGCTTTCTGTAGGCAGACTAAGAAAAAGAGCTTTGGAAATCTTAGGAGGAGGCTTTAAAAATCACACCCCAGAGGCCAGACCTCTCATGCCAAGGAAGCACATGAGTCCTGCAGCCTTTCTTGAAAGGCTACTGCAGGTAGTGTTTTGCATTTGTGGGGCATGCTGTTAGCAAAGGTGTTTTCTAATTATTGTGAGCCAAAACTTGTAATTTAGACCCCAAAGGAGACCCCTATACTAGTAAATAACTGGGGAGGTGGATTGGCCACTCATAATCTCTCAGCTGGGATTGGAGTTAATCTAGGTTTTGGTCTGACCAATGCACTTAGCACAGATAATCCCTGTTGTTGTAAAGCTAAGTTTGGTATCTCCTATTAAACAGCTGGGAGCAGATGACTAAAGGGTTTTTAGGTCATTGAAAGCCTCTCCTGGAGACACCCATGACTTCTGGGCAAAACATTTAAACATATTTCCTACGGGACATTTTGCTTTGATGCAGAAGGAACAGCCCTGACCTTTCTGTGTTACCTGGATTGGCTCGGGGGCTACTTTCTGTAAAATGAAGCCCCAGCTTTTCATCACAGCCTGGCAGCACACACTGGTGGCCTCAGGAGCATCCCCAACCCCCAGCAGCATCAGCAGATGTGACCAGCATCAAAATGAAGCCCAAAGCCTTCAACCATGTTTCTAGGCTCTCCTCAGAAAACCCAAGTGGAGGAGATCATCTTTCAGAGCAGAAACACTTACCTATCATCTGAGCAATCGTCTTCTCATACTCTGAAACTATTTTCCTGTAAGAGGGGAGAAAAAAAAGGCAAATCATTTGGCAAACATCACAATTGCTAATGCTTTCTTAGAATAGAATGCTATTCAATAACTGAACTATAGTACCTTCCAGGAGATCCAGAACCCCCTCACACTTTTATATGCTTCTCATTACCCAAGGAACAAATTAAAAAAAAAGACAGTTTAAACATTGCACCTGATTTTTAATTCTCCATGTCAATTAATATAGGTAAGAGGAGGGAAAAGGAATTGCTTTGAAATAAATTCTGTTCTTTGAAACGTGGCCAAAGTACGCTACCAATCATTATTTCAATATAAACATAATCATATTGGTCTAATTCAAGAGTTGAAAGGAGTCTCAGTTTTCCATTACTTTCTCCCCTCTTCTCCATGTTTGTGTTTGCTTATTTTTCATGTAAATATTAAGTAAAGTTCTAACTGGTAGCAAGTAAACCTAATAGGAGCCTACTTGGCCCTCATCCAAAATACATCTCATCTTCCACTCTGCAAATGTGACTAAACAATCCACCAGCACTTCAGAGAACAACACCAAAATATTCAATTATGTAGCACAAAATCCGCCCTGTCCTGTTTACCAAATCTGTTTCTGAAACAGAGGTGGCAAAAATGTTGCTTTTCAGACTGTTTTATTTCATACACTCACGGTAGGCTTTGAATTTCCTTCTTGAAAAGAGGTTAGCCAAAATAAGCAGATTAAATGTGATTTAGAAAGATGATCCATCCCTTACGAGAGCCAAATAAAGCTAATGAAATGAGACTAGCTTGATCTGTGCTTAGATTTATGAGCCACCCAGGACTGCCTATGAAAAATGAAATTACCCCACACTTCATCTGAAGTGGAGATCCAAAGGAGCTCACTGGTACTGGGATGCATCTCTTTTGAAGTCTTAGATCTCTTTCACTTGCCCCAGTTCAGAGCAGGCTGCTGCAGTTGGTGAGGTTACAGAAAGGATGTGGGAAATCCTGAGACAGAAGTCAGCCAGGAATAAAGCAGAAACCTGTGGAGCTCCCCACAAATGAGTGCAGTAACTCCAGGACTGCCTGTCTCAAATCCGAACCAGAGAGCCTAGAAATCCTTGGAGGCCACTTGCCCCAAAGGCCAGTAGCCTGTTGCTTGCCCTGGTCCTGCAGAGCTCTCAGCAGAGCAGGGGCTTTACAGCTGCCCACCCCCTGACCTCGCCCAGCCTTCAGGCAGAAAAACACAACCACTGGGATCTTCTCAGATGCTGCTTCCCCTGCTGTCAGTCCTGCTGGTTTAATTGGCTTTTTCAGAAATGACATTTTGGAGAGCAAAGATAGCCACAAGGATTTTCCCCTAAAAGGAAGGGATTGGTTTCATGTCCAAAGAAGATTACCTCCAAAGCCTGCTGTAAGCAATAAGGATTTTAAAGCCATGTCACCAGGCACTTTTAGGTAGTTCTATCATGCTAGAAAAATGAGGCCCAGGACTCAGGGAAAGGAACATGACATGAAACATGGTTACAACACTACAGCACTTTCCAGCCTGGGCTGCACCACAGAAGTTGGCAGCAAAGTGAAATAACATGATCTATTTCTTATTTTTACCAACTTAGACTGGTTCAAGTAGGTACCTCACTCTCTGCATTAGCCAACCTTATGACTCAGGTGGCATCTCTTAACTTGAAGTGGATCCTGCAGTGAGACATTGATTTTAATAATATTCAATTTGGAAAGCAAGGTAGTCAAATGGAGTCTTGTCCCAGATTCACATCAAGGGCCTCATTCAGTCAAGCAGACTCAATAATGGGCATTATGGCTGGAGAACCATAGGATGCTGGCCACAGCATCCCTCTCTGTGATGACACATCTTAACCTGAGCTTGTGATGCTGCATAGACTTCACTTCTGGTATTTTAGAGATTCAGGCTATTTAGTGACTCCCTGCGATTTCATAAACTCATAAATTCCAAAATCCAGGATCTCTGAGGTCATCTGCTTGACTTCCCCTACTGAGGCATCATCAATTCGACCTCAAAATAACTGAACTGAAATATTTCTTGCCTGCCTCTGGTTGTACCCTTGGGTTATGGTACCACCCACCCTGGTTTAGCTCCTCCATAGTTCTTACATTATTACAACTTCTCATCTTGAGTGCTGTTCTCTGGAGTGGAATTTCCTCCAGTCTGATGTTTTTATGGAGACTTAACTGAACTCAGGATATTCCAGGTAGAGAAGGTAGGACTTGGGTAAAGGAGCCTTGTTTTTCCTTTTATGGAAAGGGATATTTTTGTGCTTGCAATTCCAGATAATCCCTTCACTCCTTGTTTATCATTATGTCATATCTAATTGCTGCATCTCTAATTTACCACATGTGGGCTGTTCCAGCATTTAATCTTCCAGGAGAAATCTTCCTTTGTGCACACATGCATAGTTTATCATTTTGTGACAATATTAGTCAGATTTGCTTCCCCCCATGTGTTCTAGGGAAGCACCTGGGTGAAATTTGGCTTAAATACTGCATGGGGGTTTTTTCAAATCAGATTTTCTTGAGGGTGTAGACACACTAACAAATAACTGTGAGGAAGATGAAGGAGCAGATCCACAGTGTGCCAGCTGCTCTGTGTTACCCTCTACTTGCCTTCCCTGAAGGAATAAGCAAGCTCTGTCTGTGCGTGTTGGCACCCAAGCAGCTTCTAGAGAACAGAGGAAGTGCTGCACCTGAGTGTGGGCTGAAAGCTGAGACATTCCTGACATAATTCCTAATACTGTTCATTCCTTCTTTTGCTTCCTCAGTTTGACTGTTTGCAGCAGCTCCTTTCCCTTTGACATCATGATGCGCTTGAGGGCTATGCCAAGGATTTTCCTTTCCCTAGCAGAGCACAGGGGAGGTGAGGGAACTCAGCTGGGTGCTGGGAGATGCTTTTCTGAAAGAAACCCAGCTTGTGCCCTTGCCTTTTGCAGATGCTTTTCTTCACGTGTTTTAGCTCCAAGCCCTGTGCTGCTGCTGTTCCAGTCTGCCACATGCAGTTCCTGGCACCCGTGCTAGTGTTTGCCAACTTCTGCACCACTGCTCCCTCTTACTCCCTAGGTACAGGTTCCCTGGGTATAAGCAGGAATAGCATATGCAGGTCATCGCTTGGTACAGCTCACTGGCTTTAGCTTTAAACCACCAAGACACTCATTTTGGGAAGAAGCTGGTGTCAGAACAGAAGGGATTCTGAAGAAAACTCATTCTCAGAAGTGACTGCAGAAATTATTCAAAAGCAGGATGCTGACATAATCTGACAGTTTCCTTTTACTTTTTAATTAAGGAGGGGGATGGCTTTTCTGTTTGTTTGAAGGTAGAAAACAACAAGCTTTAAAGGCTCCATGAAATATTTTTACAGATCCTCTTTTGAAAACGGTGAACTTTCTCAGACTCAGACTGATGAGCAGGTCAAGCTTGTGGGGATGTTGCTTTTATGGGATTACCACTGTAGAAAAAAAGAAAGGCTGAAACTTTCAACTGACTCAACAAAAAGTAACAGTGGTTGTTGAGCCACACTGCTCACCTCAGCCATTACAGTGGTTTTGTTGCCACCCTTGCAAGTGGTAGGACCTGGGCTTGGAAGGAAGGTCGAACCCGTTCTGTTCCAGTATACAGATATTTAATGTAACAGAGGCAGGTTTGAGAGGAGAAATAGAATAGATAAAACTAGAATAAAGTGAAAAGCTCAGGGACCTTCTTTCAGCATCAAGTTTAGTGTGTGCAGTAATTAAAAAATCAGCTCAGTTCAAAGAAAAGGGTGCAGAATCTCCTTGCAAGTCAACAGGCCAGAGTAGTTCCTTTGCAAGAAATGTTTTTCTACTGGCAACTGGGTTTTTGTTTTCTATTGTCAAAGAAACTTTTTACAATATTGTTCTGGAGGAGTCTGCACTATTCTGACCTATCTGCAAACCTTGCTCTTCTTTTCTCTTAGCAAAACTGTTTGTGGAGAGTGAATTTTAAATGAGTATGTGCAAACCTCTGCCAGCTCTGCAGGCAATTCACCTGAGAATTACAGCAAGAACTGGAGGAAATTCTTCCCTTACGTTAACCTAATCAAGACCTCTCTCGTCTCAGCATTTTGAAGATGTAAATGAGATTAACAACATAGAAGTTTTCAATGAATACCCTAAACAGAGGTGCCCACCCTGCAGAGCAAAGACAAAGCATCAATTTAGGATCAATCCAAAGCCTGCAGTTAAAAGTAACAAAATAATTCAGTTAACCAAAACAGTTGTACAACCATGGCACTTTGCAGAGTATTCACAGGCTGAAATGAGACTCTCTGTCAGTGTAACTAGTGACAAGTTGATTACCCACCTCATTTCCATTACTTCCCTTCTGCTTTCTTCATATTTCTCTTTCCACTCAGATACTTCTCTTTCCTTGGCAACAATCTGAAACATGAAAAAAAAAAGCAAAACATAAAAAAAACCAACCAACCAAATTATTAAAATCAAGTGCTTCACTAATGAGGAAATTAAATAACTGTACAATATTTGGTTTCATATCAAATCTTAATTAGCAGAGTTTTCAAGTGTATAATGGGTTCAAAGGGTGTTTTTTTTTCTTTTTGAGATTGGTGCAACATTTTTTGAAAGTCACTTAGGAAAGTAGATGCAATGTTCTTGTTTCATGTTTAGTTCCTGGTATAATAAGGACACTTCTTAAGAAACACTGTATTACACCACAACATGTCTGGTGCCAAACCTGGAATATTTCTGTGTACGGGTCTGTAATGTGGTCCCCTGGTTTGTGGTCCCTAGAACCTCTGAGGTGGTTCTACTACTTCTGCACAGGTATTTAGGGCCGGCTGCCCACAACATTTTATGCTTAAAGGGCTTTGTTGCTTTGTGCTCCTTTCATTCACACAACCTATTGTCTAGCTTGGAATTCTCTAACACTGGATTCTATCCACTTTTTAATTGTTATTATTAGCCAGACTAATATGTAGCTTTGTAAAATACATGATTTTATTCCCCTTCCTGGTATCTTAGAAGTTTTATATAATCATACAGCGATGCAAAGATGCACAGAATAAACCTGAAGTTGCAAACAATAAAGATTCCTTTTCATACAGTCCCAGCTTTTCTATCCAAAAAGTTAAACTTCTAGCACAGCACCTTTTGCTTTGGCAGCCTCTGGGGTGGCTTTAGCACGGCTGTTTTAAGACTAGAACAAGGCTTTCAAAGGTGAGCCATTTGGGAGAAAACAGGAAAGAAGGAAACCACAAGGGGCACATGTTTCCCTTCCCAAGTTCTGAAGAAAATTACCTCAGCTCGGGCGAGTCGCAGCGCAGAGTCCAAGTCTTGCTGGGGGTAGAGGAGCCCCGTGGTGCCTTCTGCATCCGAGGCGCCCATCCGGGAGTACAGTGCACTTTTAGAGATGGGAACATCTGCTGGGATAGCAGCATCTCTCTGTGTGTTTGTTTTTTCAAATACAAAGAAATGAAGCATTAAATACGTGTTTAGCTAGTAAGTTTTCTGGGTGCAGTGCTGAGCAGCAGGGTCCTGAGCTAGGGCTAGAATCCCCTGCGCTGCTATGACAAGGAACTTTGGATTTAGCAATCATAAAAGAAACATCTAAGGTCCATAGGAAGCATCAAGAAAGGCCTGTTGCTCTTACAGAGAGAAAACCAAGACTGCACCTTGCCACAAATATTTTAGGCTCCCGTGTTAGGAAATTTACCCCTTTCTGATGCAGAAATTTCACCCAAACATCCACAAGAAATGCATGTCAGCAGAGGGAATTAGAATGGGAGGCAGAGAGTTGTTCAGGGGAACTTTGCTTCCATCAAAATAGATCAAGAAACTAGAAGCAAGAGGACAGCTCGCTTGCTTAAGTCAGACCTGCCAATATACTGTGTTTATCATAAAAGGTACTTCATCAAAACTGGGAACATCAAATAGACTCATGGAATAAGAGAAGACAGAGGTGATGTTGCTGCCCCACTGGTATTTAGCATGCCATTAGTAAGTTTTGCAGCTGCCAGTGCCTGGGATTAACTTGGGAGGAGAGCAGCATGTAAAACAAGTTCAACAGAGAGGCAGGGGACACCGAGATGCAGTATCTTGCAAACAACACTCTAGGTACAAGCAACCCAATTTACAGTGCATTAGAAACAAGGAGATTATAAAAAATGGTTAGGAAGATGCAACACAAAAAAACCCAACACATTTTTAGGCACCATCCACAAGCTCCTCTGCAGCAGATGCACTGCCACAGCTTTATGTCCCCCTGCTCCCCACCCACACTTTGCATCTTGCCATCAACCAACCAACACTTTGTCCTGGTTTGAGCCAGGACAGAGACAATTTTCTTTCTAGCTGTTTTACTTTAGTCTTTAGGCTTTATCTGCAATAATTAAGAGTAGTCATCAAGACTTTTAAAAGTATCTTTCACTCACAAAAGGGGGGAAAAAAGCTTTTGTTGTAAAAGAAGTTTGGGGTTTTAATTTGTTTTTGTTCTTTTTTTAATAGAATAGCAGTCACATTCTATTGCTTGAAGCACAGGAATGTGAAAATGAGTAGATAATGTTTGAATGTTTAGTCCTTCTCTCCACAGCATGCACACACCTCATTAATTTCAACACCACACACTCATGTTTCAACACAGTTAAAACAAATTTTGTCAGATGCTATTCCATAAATCATTCATTTGCTCACAGTTCTTCCTGCATAGCCTACAATAACAGAAAGGATCCAAAGCCACTGTTAATTTTGTTGCAGTGACTGTTATTTGATGCCTCCAAATATTCCCAGCCTGAGAAAATAATATAACCTGCCCAGCAGGATGATGGCATCACTCAAAATAACTGTCAATGCTTGAAGTTCAACACATAACTGCTGAGAAAGTGAGCAGCTCATTGGGGTAATAATAGGTGTAGGGATTTGTAACTCACTGAATCTTGCACAGAAAGATTAGAGTCTGCAGGGGAATTACTACTAAATGTAGGTCACTGCAATCTTAGTGTAAATATTTGAGAGCCCACTGGTTCTTCCCTTCCCAGCATCTTTTACAGAAACCAGATATCTGCCCAGAAAGGGAATAAATACACATTGATTAACCAGAGGCAGTTATCAGACTTCAAGGAGGTCAAGGTGAAAGAAAAGAAAAAAAAAAAGACACTGCAATGGAAATGAAGACTAGTTTTTATCACACTGTTTAGAGGAATATGTATTTAGCCCTGCTAAAAATGAGCTTGCCCTTTACAAGCACTCAAGTACTGTTTGGGTGGATCTCAAATAACCTACTCTTGTAACTAATTGATGTGTGTGCAGGCCAGGTCGATGGAGGCAAAACAAGACCTATTTGTGCTTGCAAATATATGGAAAAACAAGTAAAATCCAAGCAGAACTTCTCTGCTTATAAAGTTTTACTAGAAAAAAAATGGCATCCCTGTTGAAAGGAATCATTCCTCCTTCCCTACCATGAGAGCCCCCAGTGTGTGATGCATTAATCCCGTTTGTCCTGATGCTTTTCCTTTCAGTTTCTCTCCTTTCCTCAGCTCTTATTTGAACACCCAACTCTACATCACCTCAGCAGCCCTTGGGTGGCAGACACAAACCTCACTGGCTTTCTGTGCTCACTGCACCTATAAAAAATTGGCCACAGAACATCCTAATGAAGGCTGTTTAATAAAGAATTGTTAATTCATCTCAACACCGGAAGACAGGAATCTTGGGCAATGAAAAACCAAACAACCAGTCAGGCTGTTGTTGAAATCTGTGACAAGAAGTTTGGGAGTACCCAAAGAACTTTTTCCTCTATCTGAAAACTACAACCTGCACGACTTTATTCTCAGTCCTAGTACTGGCAGAAAATGCTTGTATTATTTTAGGTGACATAACTCACCGTAACACATGCTCGTGTCTTTATTTAGCTTCTTAGTCTTGTTACCCATCCTGTAATGGTTTAGTAAATGTGAAATGTAATTACACATCATTAGTGAAAGAACTGTGGCCAGCCAACCAGAAGGGAATTCTGCCAGTTGGGATCTGAATTTAAGTCACTGCAGTTGCCTGGTGGACCCTACTACACTTAATCCAGGCCACCAGTCACTGTAGGTCACAAGGGGTGTCATCAGAGGCTAATTTAACCTTAGCACCTCCCACTGAAATAGTGAAGTTATTCAAGGACAAAAAGTCCTTCCCAGAATTCAGCTGAAAATATTTCCCTTGACTGCACCAACGTGGGGCTTTGTGCATGTCAAAACACAATCCAGTCTCTGTCAGAGACTCTCTCCTCATCTCTACTGACTGTTTTTCTATCTTTGTCATACAGATTATGGTATTTTCTAAGAATTCACATGAAATCCACTCCCTAAGCTCTAGGCAGTTCTTGTTCTAGGTTGAAGAAAATGCTGTCATGATGTTTAAAAGCCTCTTTAAAATAGAACTCCACATAATCAAATATATACTATAACATTTTTGCAGCTCAGAATCTTCTTCAGGTAACCCACAAGAATTCATGAAGGCACAAACCTATTCTCTTCAGTCTAGAATGGCAGTATGGAAGATCCTGACTTGCTGGCTGGTAGCAAAAATGCAGATGCCTAACAGCAGGTTTTTGTGTTACCTGTGCAGAGCATCTCTTAAGTATTATTGTTTCATCTCAGGTGTTTCCTGACTGCTGCATGTAACAGCAAAGTGCTGGGGGGACAAGGAGGTTGAGAGAGAACAAGGAGGCAGAGAGGGTCCCACCTCACCCTCTTCAGACATCCACCATTCAGGGCAACAGAGCAAGGGGACACAGTCACACACAGGCTAGTACTCACACAGGAAAATGGAATTAATTTATTCACTCCTTTCATTAGAAGGTTAATCTTGGTTTCTAATGATAACAACAGCTTGTTTTTTCTTGATGAAATAAAGTATTACAATCACATACTTTAAAAAACCCATCAATCTGCAAGGAATGAATTTACTTTTCTAAGTATGTGTGCACCATGGAAAGAATTGGCTCATGGGCTATTTAAGGAAAGCAAAATAAATCCAGTAATTTTTATTTTTTTTTTCATAGTGCAGTTAATCTAAAAAGAAATTATTTTACTTCTATGATCTAGCTACTTTATGACTGATCTTTAAAGCACCAGGAAATTCTGCCCTATAACCAGCCCAAATGTTCTTATGGTGAAATGAACCTGAGATGGTCCAAGATTGGGCAAAAGAGTTCACACTGTCTTACTAATGGGCAGTATAAGAAGAGAAGGGTCAGCAGAGAAGGGCAGGTCAGGAGCACATTGTCCCAAACTGAATTAAAATGTCTCACTGCAGCAAGACACATCCATTCTCTCAGCATCCCATTCAGCTGATACCACCTCCCGGGAAAGCTACTGACATTTCTAGCTCGACTTTTTGGCTGAAAGCACCATGAAGGGCATCACAAACTGGCTGTGCAATTGGCTTCCTGCCAAACTCAGTGCATCAGAGCAAGCTTTGCCATCCTGTCCCAAGCACAGCGAGGACCACGTGCATCCCTAGAGCAGGGTTTAGCATCTCTCTGAGGTGGAACCAGCCAGAGCAATAAAAAGTAGCAATAAAAAAAAAAAAAAGAAAAAAAGAAAAAGAAAAGGTTTAGATCTTCATTAATGAAGACATATTATTGTAGGAGGCCTATTTTTCCTTGGGAGCTTTAAAGCCTTTCCAAAACTCCTGTAGTCCCTTTCTTCAGACTCTTGAAGGCAGGGTTGATGTAATTCCTCACTTCTAAAGTTTGAGGGTTAAGGTGTCTGATTTCAACCCAAAAATACCAACAAAAGCCAAAATGACCCAACAGTTAAAATCTATAACATCTTTATAAGAAGTAGGTTTGGTATTGTTTTGCCACCAAGCATTTTAGGGCAAATCTTGCTGTAGACAAATGAGAACAGCCACCTGGGTTGCAGAACCTGTCTCCTGGGAAAGGTGTGATCCCACTTCTTGCCTTCACACCTGCCTTTGGGTGCCCTGGCCACAGGGGCACTCTGTGAGTGGAGCAGGTGACAGCATTTCTGTGTGCAGCACTGCTTCCTGCGTGCTCTGGGGTGTCACAGGGAGGTGTGCTCAGCTCTGCGCTGCGCTGGGAGAGCCTGAGTCCCTTGTTAAAGGAAAAGCTTAGTCTGTGCACACTCACACACACATGGCAGGCACAAACTGGGTACCTGGGAGCAGAAAGAAGCCAGGGCAATCTGCCTGGCTAACTTCAGGGCTTCTATCCTCATTGCAGCAAACTCTAACTCCTCCTGTCAGGTGTGTGGTTGTGAGCAAGCCACAGAAAAGAAGGTGGTAAGAACACAGCGAAAGTGTTTTGACACATTCAAAAATGGATTTTTATCTTTCAATGTCTAATTCTGACAATTCCTGAGTGACAAACATATCCTGCATTCCTTTCATGACTAGAACAATTATACAAAACTCCAGTTCTCAGTTACTTCTGAGGGAGTTGTATAGAAAACTGTTATGAATGGGTAAGTATGAACAATCCTTTGGATAAAACAAATATTTTCTGAAACTAAAGCTTTTTTTCACGGACTTCCCACTTTAGTTTTCATTTTATGTTAATTTATACCAGCTGCCTCTCTTGATTCAACCTTTGCTTGTCTAAAATTTCACCATAAATATTCTAGAAAATACTTGCTGAGGCACAGAACTGGTCTGCAGCTCAATCTGCTCTTCCTGGAGGAGGCCATGCCAAATTCTGCATTAGGTAGATTACTAGAAAAACAAAGCCTAACTTTCAGTTCAGAAGAATTAGGGCCTAAATCTCTGAAAAATAATCTATGCATACAGACCTATTAAGGCCAGGGATCATGACAACTCCACAAGTCTTGTGTTCAAGCTTAAGAAAGATTTGCTTTATAAAGACTTCTGCAAAGTATATGCATCAATAGGATAGGCTAGATGAAAGTGTTGATGAAATTTAAGTTCATGACCATATGAATTAAAATATCTTTGTTCCTTAAGTTCCTGAAAGGCCTGAACAACTTTGTAAAAAATTATTTTGCTTCTTTCCCTCCTCCATTCCAACCTTCCTCCCATCTGTTTCAGATAAGGCAAAGCCTTCCTCTACCCATGTATTAAAAAAGCTTAAAGAAAACTGACATTTCTATTTCTGCTACAAACCTGAAGTTTCTGAGCAAATACTGGGGGGTTCTTTTCTGCTAAGTCAGGATCTAGATATTCAGGCTGATCACATATTGAGGTTTTCTTAGATATCCTATTGAGAAGAGCATCAGCAGAGACAAAGGAGTCTTCAGGAGAAGTCTGAAGGGTAAGGAGGATATAGAAAAAGCAAGAATTAGATTTTGCCCAAGTAGTTCAGGCCGAAAGCAACATAAAATTCATAGGTGTAACAGACAGACAAACATCAAGAACAATTCTTCCTAATTTGAAAGATGAGTAAATTTTCCAATACTAACATGAAGTAAGCAATATCAGGACCTCCAAAGCAACAGCTCCCAAACCATGGACCTAAGCCTAAACCATGGATCTAAGTCCTTATGCAGCTGAGGTTGGAAGCAAGGAAGGGCTCACCACTAAATCAAATACAACCCAGAGAAGCCACTGAAAAAGGAGTCTTAACTGGAATGGGAATGTGTTCTAATGATCAAAAAAAGTTAGTTTTACATTATCAGTATCAGATAACAATAGTACAGTTACCGGTTTCTATGAAATTGTGAAAGGACACCTGTTCATTGCCAATGAAATGTAATTTCCCAGTACATGCAACAGAAGAAATCATGTCTCTGTTTATATTAATCCCCTTATTTTATACATAAACTGTTTCTTCAAACATTGGGTTAAAGCTGTGTGAGAAAAGGCCTGGGTGAGGAAAAAAAGCACTTCAAAGAATCAAGTTGGAATAATATATAAGAACATATTAAGCTACAATAAAAATTAAGAATTTTTTTCTGAATTCCATCAGTTCCATCAACTTACCTCCCTCAAGTGGTCCTACCACTTGCTGCTACCAAGATCTTTTACTCTTTTACTCTACTTTTGAGATCCACTTTTGCTACCCCTTATATGACATGAGAAATTTCTGCTGGAAAATGATTCCCAAACTCTTATCACAAATGACTTACTATTTCAATAGCCTCTGGAGTTGTCCCTAGGGTCATGGGCTCGAGGTCCTTCTGCTTTGACTTGTCAGGTGACTGTAAATGTGCCTCTTGGCTGGCAGCTAGAACTCTGGAAGCTGGATGTTGTATTTTCATTCCAGAGGATTGCTGGGCTTCAGGGTCTTCATAACTTGACCTGGAAAAAGATTGTGTACATGCTTTCAGGTTGGAGCACAAGGCCCCTCTGGTAACAACTAAACAAGCCCTCTTTATTGCTTTAATCTGTGTGTATATATATGTAAACACACGTATTTTGCCTCAACTTCTTATCATTGTATCTCATAGCACTTTGCAATATCCTTTCAAAACCAGTTCCACCAGAAATGTTATGCACATTCCTTAAATACGTCTCACTTGTCTTTTCACCTCTTTCTCATTGTGACCTGCACCTCTTCCAACAAACAACTTTTATTAACAAGAACAGATGTCTTTACGAAGCAACATTTTTGGAAGTAAATACAACCCCCACATCCTGTTCTATGAACGAGATTTCTTGTTCAGAAAATGTATCTAGGAAAGGCCAAATGAAAAGTGGCAATTAGGAGATTTCTAGATTGCCATGAAAATGACCTCATTATCTGAGAAAAAAACTGCAAGCAGGGAGCCACAGACATGTAACAAGTGAAACAAGTGGCTTCTGTGACTCCATTTAGTAAGAATATGAGAGACAAATGTATCCTTATTCCTTCCTATTATAAAACTTGTGTAGCTTTGCCCTCTATTCTCTATCATGTGTGTACACAGATGGGCATCTATTTTTAAACAAACAGCTTCGCAACACAGAGGCAGAGAGAGGAAGAACTGCCTGTATACGTGCCATGATGGCAACCCATTTCCCTGGCACCCTTTTCCACTGCTGAATTTGCTTGCGGAGACATACGTACCCTGAGCACGGAGTTGTGGAATCAGACAGTCTGATGGGAGGTGATTTGACAGGGCTCTCCTGCTGAGCATCAAACATTAGGTATAAAGATTGTTTCTTTGGGGTGTTGTCATCCTGCTGGCAACAGGAAAAGGAAGAATCATTAAGCAACTCAACTGCTCTCCCTTAAAAGCTCATTCAGGTCACTGAAGCTTTAAGTGACCTAACGACTTGATTGACAACTAATAATATAGGACTGTAATACAGCCCGTGCTAACTGATAGTGTTCCTTCCTTTAAGGAAGGAACCATTGAAGAACAAAATCTAAACTGTTCAGTCTTTGTAATGGCTCCTTTTCTCCCACTTTGGGGTTAATCAGGTTTCTGGTTCTCTCAAGCAACAGTCATCCCTTGACTGAAAGTGTTCATTATTCACTGTTCAATATTCAAGTGTTATACGTTCATTGAAGCTTCTGATCAGTTTAAGCACCTGACATGTACACTTGGTTTTTCCAACTAACTTCCCCTATGGATATAACCCCATTGGATCTAGTCAGGCAAAGTAAAACAAAACAACTGAGAAGGTACAATATGACATTCCATATTTCACAGTCATTTGGTTTGCTCTCCTGATTCCCTCCATCTTCTTAAAAGTTTTACACTCAGTTTCTTAAAAGAACAGCTGTTTCAACAGCTGGTGTAGACAGCTCTGTACTCTACACCACTGGAAATACTAATTTGTTTTTAATCTCCAGAAAGAACTACTATGATGCTAGCTTAAAACTACAATGATAAAATGGAACAAGCTCTACAGGACTAGGACAACAAGCACATGCAATTTACCCCAGTTATGCCAATTTAAAGAAACTGGTTTTGCAAATCTGCTGCAGGAACATTAAAATTAATGGCATGATCAGGACAGTGTGTTATGACAAGGGAATGCAAATTAATGGAAATGGAAGTGAAAACTTACAGGCACAGAGGAGCCTATTTTCTCCATATATTCTATTTCATATGAGTTGCCATATTCCAACTCTGCAACAGAAACAAAAAAGAGACATTATATGCATGCCATGAAATTACTTTTGCAGAAGTAAATGAGATCTCATTTACAAGGGCCACTCCAATACTGCTCAATACTTTTCTGTGAGGTATTAAAAATAGAATATGCAGAGAGAAGTGAAAGATGCACTGATTTGCACTGATTTTCTACAATGAACCTATGATACATTTCAAGCAAATTAATTTGCCTGGAAAATTTCAGCTTTATCAATTTGCTGAATATTCTTCCCCAGGGGCCAGAATATTATGAAAGTTTCAGAGTGCTTTCAGAGCAGAGAGAACTTTCCTCCAGCATGTCATCTAATCACAAAACCCACATTTTTCAGGAACAGACAATGCTGATACCAGTTTCCTTTGCTGTACACAGAAAGATTTTAAAAGCTGTTGAGAAATGAAGTTATTTCTATTTCTTAATGCTTATCATACAGTTCTTAATTAAGAAGGACAATAGTGTGGCTACTTAAGATAAAAGGATACATAAAATACCTGCAGGCTCATTAAACAAAGGGTGAGACAACAGCCCAGTTTACTGGGCTATTTTCACATTTTAGTTTCAGAGGAAAAGCCTGAGGCAGGAAGATTTACAAAGAACCCTAAATCTAAACCCTAATAAAAATGCATATCTTTACTGCTTCTCTACTTCTAATCTCATCATTAAACTGGAGGGAATAACCAGTGTTTCTTTCCAATCCATGGTCACCCAGTAGTTGATAAGAGAGGCAGACAGCTAAAACACAGCAAAATAAGAAAAGAGCAGACTTTCCTGCACCACAGTGAAAGCAAAGACTTTGTTCAGTGATACCTTAAATTTAAAAATTAGAAACATAATTAATTTGTCCTAATGATGTATTTTACTCTGTTTCCATGAGTTAATTCAATAAGCCACTTGTGTAATTTCATTTCCAAGTTCTAATGAATGGTACATTGTCAGTTACATTATGATAAAAGGATGTACTAAAATTCTTCTAGATGTGGGAAGCTTTTGAAAATTGGGGCTCTTATCAGGAAGACAGTGAAGATCATTAAAATATTTGCTCTTCTTCCAAAACAAACAAACCCTAATGATAATCTCTTATCTGTAGTGTTAAAAAAAAATAAAAATCTAAGGGTGCAATGTGAGTTTACGATGCTCAGGTTATTTTAATAATGAAAAGCACCAGAGAATACAAGCACTGTTATTCCACAAGTCTACATATTTTGTCAACCAACCACTGAAGAGGAACAGCCACAAGCTCTCAGTACCTGACACGTGGGAAGATATTAATAGGAAAACGTCTAAGTGACAAGAATCCTACAGTAGCAGGCTCCTCATGTTTAAATTCCTGGCACCTCGTGATTTTAATATGGACTGAGAGTTAACAAGGAGCCAGGCAAGATGGACAACCTCCTGGAATCAGATACAAGCTTCCTCCTGGGAAGTCCAGTGAGGTGCATTACCAAGGGTTATGGGGCAGCTTTACCAGCCCAGGCAGCTACTGGTGGGTGAGGGTTCAAGCACACTCTGGGACAGGAGACACAGGGGCACTGTCTTCCACCTGCGTGCAGAGCTGCAAGTGCTTTTGCCATCATTGCAACCCAAACTGCCTTTTGGGACATCATGTCTTTAACCTTACTCTTTGTGAGAAGGCAGAACACAGCTGGAAATACTTCAGCTAGAAACAGAAGGGAAAACACAGTTCCCTAAATGCAGGGTTTTTCATCTCATTGCTCCCAGATGCTGCAAGCATAATTAGACACTATCTCCTCTCCCAGGTATCTCCTCTAAGACATCATCTCCCCTCCAAAATCTCAGGCTCTGGTTATCTCTATACATTCAAAATCTACAAATGCCCAGAACATCCCACAAAGTAAGGTAATTATCTCTTACACATACATACATATGAGAGACTTACTAAGTGATGTCCTCCAACTCCTCCCACAAACAGCCACACGATCACATCAGAATTTCTGCTAATAATTACTGGGGGTTTTTTTCTGGTCTGTGCAGCATGAAAATGGCAGCAGCTATAGCAGCACATGCAAGAGTTGAGAGCTGGATGTATTGGCTGATTGGGTAGCTGTGGCTGTATCTGTACAAAAGCCGTGTTAGGTTACAAGGTAACACTCATACTGGTTGTCTGGGAGGGGGAAAACCATTCACCCCAAGACTCAGCCCTGGAATTACTAAAAAAATTCTCAGTGCCACAGGAGTAAGAGTGTCAAGGGGGGAAAAAAAAGATGATTTTTTTTTTTTTTAAAAAGAGATCTGAAAAGTGGAAGCATTGTTGATTATATTAGCATGTAATCTGAAACTCCAGCCAGACCACGCAGCACACATGAGACAAGACAATTAGCATTTAATTAGGAGCTTTGCTCACTTTCTTCTACCCACTTTGATAGCTAAAATGATTGCCTTAGAGCATCTCTCACTATTCTTTTGTTCCATTTCCTTCCACATAATTTCCAAGATCTGAGAGGGCTTACTTAAAAAATAATAATAAAATAAAATATATTTTTTTTTGTAATAAAAATGAAGCTGATGTCTAAAATTTATAATTGAACAATAAAACCAAAAGGATTTATCCAGACTTAAATCTGTACAGAAGACTCAACAGGTTTCCAAAAAGCCCAGGCCACACAAACATATTAACCTGTGCATATGGACACGTGCAGTCCCCCTAAACCCACTGTGAATATTCATGGCTTTTAATATCAAACACGTTTGATCAAAAAGCTTAGCAGTTCTTCATTAGGTAAAAGCTCCTCAGACCCAGTGGCTTAAATTAGCTTTCATGGTAGGCTGGGACATGGGTAAAAATGTTGAGGAAACAAAAATACATTCTGATCAAGAAGAAGCAGTTTAAGCCAAGTTAACCTCATGCATTCTTCCCACCCACAAAGCTGAAAATCTGCCCTTGGAGCAGGTGTTGCAAAGCAGTGTTCCCTCTGGTAACCCAAGGAAGACCACACACAAATTGCTTGAATTTTGTCTCTTCCACATTTCACAGACCTGGCATGACAGTTCTCCTAAGGGAAACTTCCAGGTATAGCTCACAAGGAGTATTAGGAGGTAAAACAGGAGAAATCTTCATAAGCTTATCCAGAAGGAAATTTTATCTGGCACATGAACGGTAACTATTTTATGCAGGGAATATTTTGGACATTTTTATGCATCAAGTTTTAATCCATACCCGGATCCCAGGAACCTGAAGGAGAGGTGTAAAGGACCTTAAAGCAATACACAAACTTTGAGGAGAACTTTCACCTGGGACCTTCACCCATTCAGGTTAGAGGAACAGACTCAGGCAAAGTCTGTAGTTCAGTGACTCTGGATCCTAGAGCATTAGCTGAGTGGTTTCAGGCTGCAGTCCCCCAGGAAAGCCCAGAGAGAACAAGCAGCGTGCACAGAACATGAGAGAGCTGTCTACAATTAGCCATACAGAGGAAGCAAAAGCCTTTCTTTCATTTTCCTTTAAGCTTCCTCTCTACTCTTTCTTGAAAACCTCAGGTGAGATACAGGAGTCAGATATTCCTCCTAATTCCCAAATAATACAGTTCACATTCAGCAAAGGATACACCAATGTCCCCAAATGAACCAACCCCCGGTATCAATAGACACAACACCAGCTGGATGCACAGTCCCTCCCAAAGCATACCCTCTGTGGGAGAGCTGAATTTGGTCTCATTGACAAACGTAGACAGGTCAGATGGTTGTGGGTAATCCTGTTTATCCGTGTTCAGGTCCACAGTCATGCAGGTCCATTTCTGACTGGTCACTGAAGATGCCAGTTTCTCCTCATCTGTGGCATGAACCACCGTGGATATGACAGGAGGTGTTTCTGGAGTGGGCAGTGGAGTGGGATCCTGCAGAAAACAAGCATCAATTAATTCTATTATCTTTCATTAACACACTGAATAGTCAACTCTTGAATTTCCACTGCAGGACCACGGTCATCTTTTTAAATCCATACTCTTCACTGCAGCTCTGTATAAAACATTTAATGAAAAATATCAGAGTCCTTCATTTAGAACTCAACTAGCAGCAAGTTCTCCCAGCATAATTCAACTCGTTGATGATAAACATTGCAAAGCTGCCTTGATAACAAGAAAGAAAAAATCCAGAGCTGTTTAAATTTGTTTTAGGCACTTGACATAAGTGGCAGGCATCACCCATGGCTGGAGTTTCTGACTAACAAAACTGACTTTTTAGGCTTCCCTCATGGGAGGAAGCCTTCATAGATCTGTGAGGTCATGAACCCTTTCTTCACTTCTAGGCTGTCAAGCAGCAGAAATAAAAGGGGAGGATGGATAACAGGAAGATGAACAGCAGTATGGATGGAGCTGTGCCACATCAAAGCACTCGGGCCTTTGTAGGCAGATCAGCTTTTGTTAGCTTCTCTTCCAAGAAAACCACCTGCCAGCAGTTTACAACATGGAATAAAACCATCCAACCACATATTCCTAGTAGATCAGCCCACTTGTTTAATTTCTATTTCCCTTCCAGCCCACCAGTTTGATACGTTTAGTTTCTTACTTGCTAATCTAAAATTCCAGGGTGGGCAGTTACACTGAGCTTTTCAGACAACCAATCGAAGATATTTATTCTGTAACACAGAACTTTCCAAAGGACATACACTAAGAGTCTAACTGGAACTCCAGAGCAAATACTAGGTCTAATGCACATTGTATACACACTTCTAGAGGCCAAATTTCAATACCTGATGATTATAGCATATACTTGCTATACTTGAACACCAACAGGCTTATATTCTTTATAAAAACCTCTTCTATTTTTAAATGTGCAATCATACAATTAAATAAATCAAATTTCACTCTTTTGCCCCTACAGTAACACTAACTACATGCATCAAAATAAGGCACTACTTTACCTGAGAAGGAGGATCAGATAGTGGGGATCTTTTTGGTGATTTTTTCACCCTAAATGTATCACTGAAAATAAAGTTAAAACCATTAAAACCATATGGTAATACCAGTGAGAATCAAGTAATTTCACACTTAGCAAGAGACAGCCACAGACAATGCAACCTCTGTAAGCCCTTCTGCTTGATGCTTGGAAATCCCATCCATTAGGCAGCAGCACCACAGAGAAACATGCCATAGGTACATATTCTTGTCATGCACTTGGAACAGGCCTTACTTGCCCAAAAGCTGAGAAAAGCAGGATTGCCATATTTTTTTTTCATGCCAACCACCAGCACATTTACAGAGCAGCATTGCAGCTCTGTTGCAATTCAAATCTCTGCTCCACCACAGACATCCTCAGTGGCCTTAAGCAAATCATGTAGCTTCTGTCTATTTTAGTTTTCTAGCTGAAAATTAGGTCTAAAACACATAGTGAAATGAGAATTAAACCCGATAAACTTAGGCATTAAACTCCAGAGACCCCATAAATCACTGAGAAAAGAACTGGTATGCTTTGGATGAAGCACATAAAAAACAGCTGAGGCAGGGGGTGGCAGAACAAAGCTCTATCATTATAACTATGCACAGTGGATCCCCTCCCTCTTTAAAACAACTACAGCAGCAAATATGGCAATTCTGCTCCAGGTTCCCCTGCCAGCTCACAGGGCACCCTGGGAGCACAGACACTGTAGCCCTCCAAAACCCCACAGGTCTCAATGAGGCAGAAAGAATGAAGAATAAACATTATGTCTTGGTGAATAATTATGGATGTTGCTTTTATGTTTATTCGCAATTGGTTAAAAATATTTTGTATCAAGGAAATAAACCCATTTTCCACCTGTTCTCTTGATGGATTTTGCCAGTTATTCAAACACACTTTTGCTACTGACTAGAAAAGGGAGAAAAAAAATCATACTGAATTCATGAATAAGGGCTTAACATTTGAAATGAGATGCAGTAGGAAAAATTACTGCCCATCAGCTCTTCTGTGATGAATAAATGGCAGGATCAATAGTAGAAATTATAATAGTGGGTTTCAATAGGTGGAGGGTAAATCAATATGACATCCAGAGGGGAAAATTAATTGGACAGCTGAGAATCAGTTTGTTCTAAGTTAGTGATTATCTAGTTATGATAGCTGGAAGTAATTAGGATAACTTATTCCTGTAAGAAGGAGAAACACTTTTCTGCAGCATTTATGAAAAACTGATTGTACAATGTTGTTGTACAATGGTAGAAATAAAAAGTTCACAATTTAGCTCAAGGATGCAAAATCTTTATAGTTTCTGAAAGGGGATCTTCTTTGATAGGCAAACAGATAATGAGGAATTAGATCCCTTAAACTCATTCACAGCAAGAGATCTTACTTAAAATAGCTTTCAAATGTGTCAGTGAAGTGAAAGAGTTAACATAAAAGCTTCATGCTGAATAGGAGCTGATCATGCTGCAAAACAAATGAGTGAAATTAAAAAGCCCCGTAAATCAAAGAGGAAACTTGAATTGTTAGCTTAGAATTACTTACAACAGAGAACATACAGACATCACATCTTCTACCATCCTAAGACAAATAAGACAAAGAAAAGAGAGACAGACAGAAGGAACTGACAAAAAAGATAAACCTACAAATACTCTGTTAATGTGTTAAGGAAATCTGATCATGCATATTTTCTACCTTCATCATATTAAAACCTACTTTTATTGTGAAATACATGGGGAGAAAAAAATATTAACCAAGCCCCTCATTTTGTCAAATTCAATGTTATACTTCTGACACACTTTCATCTTACAGAGCATATTTTTCAAAGCTGAGGCCTCTAAGTTAAGTTCCTGTCAACACACTAAGTGTCCTTGCCTTCCCTGACAGTAGCCACCTGCTTTCTTTTCAAAACATGCTATTTGTTGTTATAGGGGATATAAAACTGTTCTTGAAGGAAAAAGCACAGTCATGCAAGGTTTTTTGTGCCTGTTGATCTCTTACGACAGCAGAGAAGCTACTTGACCATTTCAAAGCGTTTGCCGCAGTCAAGAAAGAAAATGACATTTCTTTAAACTTCATCTGTTTTGACTCTCTGAACCTGACTTTGTGTGCTGAGAGAACAAAGGCCTTGCCTCAAGAAAAGTTTTCATCTAGCTTATAAGCTTGGCAGCTTCTGCTCAGATGTCCTCACGTGCAGTGCTACTGAAAGCTGACACCTTCCCTTTCTAAACCAGCCTCCTATCATCCAACAGGTCCCACAGCAATGTCTATCCAAGGCACCTATTTTTATTCATCACTACAAGCAGGCACTCAGGAGGCATCTGCTGCTCTTCATTCAGTATCATCTGAGCTAGATGATCTATCTCAAAACAGCTCAGCACTTGGGTATATGACCCAAGAGTAATTTGCATTCTGCTGACATCTCTTCTAAAATTCTCATCTCTTCAATGCTTAGACTGCAGGTTTCATTCCAGAATAAAAGCTGATTATTTTTATTGATTTAACACAGGTAAGATTGGCATATGGCACAGATTCAAAGCAGTACAGGCTTAGCAATGGCTTAAACTCATGCCTGGCTTCTTCACCTCCCATAGGTCTAACCTAGAAAACACTGTCTTGCTGTAAAAGGAACACATTTTCTAACTGGTCTGTAGAGTTGCATTTCTGCAGCTCTCAGTACTGCCAATAGCCCCCCCCACCTCTGGCTTTTAAAAATTACCAACTATTTCAGATTTACAAGTCCTGGTTTCCTAATTCAAACCACCTCCTTTCTACTCCTTGCAACTGAAGCATCTTGCAGTGGCTTCTGTCTCCCTCTCCCTGCCTGGCCAGAGGAAGTGTTCCAAGGGCCCTTTTTGTGGAGAGAGACCAGAGACAGGCAGAGACCATCAGAGCCCCTGCTTTCCTTGGCATCTCCCAACAAGCCTTGGGCTAATTTTCTTCTAGATAAATATTATGGCTTCAGGCTGTGTTGTGTATTAATATGCAGATTCTCATCTCTGATAGAAACCACTAACAAAAAGTAGGTTATGGGGCTGCAGGGAGCAGATACACAACACAACCCAGTGCAAGAAGTCCCAGGCCAGGGCTGGGAATTCCTGCAGCCCTCCTGACCTACACCCTGCGAGCTCTGCTCTAAGGCAGCTTCCCTCCTTCCACCATGATAAAAAGCAGCAGGGAACTTTAAACTGTAGGTCAGGGCCGTCCTCTGATGGATTTTTCCAAGGACGGATGTGGTTTAACAAACTCTTTGTGAACTCATGTTGTCCCTGTATTAACAACTTTGGAATTGATTCTAATATTCACAGCAGATGGGTGGACCCAAGAGGGTTACACTGGAGGTCTGTCAACTCCACTGCAGCTACAGAAAGACTCTGGCTGGCTGCAAATATCAGACTTAAGGATCTGGTAATGTTAAAATTCCCCTCCCTCCCTCTGCACTTCCCTGGTAAGATTCAAATTGTTTCCCTCTCACAGTCAGACTTTTAAGCCTTCTTGCTTTGGACAAATTCACTTTGGACTGGAGGCTCAGAAAATATGTCAGCTTAACACACATCAGAACTCCTGCCTTGATTTCCCCTAAATTTCAGGCATATGTCAAAAAGAAGCACCATCAGAACAACACCAACTGAACTCAATTATAGGGTGGTCTATAATTTTTGTAAGTTAAAAGTGCTCCTAAAAACAAAAAAATGGCACAATCTTCCTCAAACCTGTCAAGGGATGTGAATTAGACAACTAGAAGGTTGCTCAGTGAAAAGCTGAATAAATTCCACATCACTCCATAAAGGTAATTGTTTGTACTGTTTTACATTAAAAATATTATCATCAAATTCTGAGGCTTTTGTAATTTTCAAGTCACATTTTTGTTAGTTAGCTGAAACATTTAAGTCATAAAGGAACATGCCATGAGATACTTCCTTAGAGATACACACAGAATATTAATTTCAGATAAATGAGATATAAACTTCCTGATTACAAACTCAAAAGAACCATGTCTGAATGGGTAAGATAATATGCTCACCAGAAAGCTAACCATGGAATCCATGCAACTAGCCAATGAAATAATTAACTATCTAAATAACTAGAGCATTTATCCTGCCAACTGTGTTTAAAGCCTGGGTATTTCCCTACCATGTAGCTGTATGGGATTTTAACTCTTCTGCAGAACCTCTTTCATAGAAAAGGAACTTTCCACATTTTTTACTCTTGTATTTAAAGATCTATATTTCAATACTGCACTCATCTGTCTCAGCTTATTTTCTTTTCAACGCTGTAAGTCACTAAATAAAACCACCTTCCTGCTGTGTGCAGTAGGAGATTTGTTGCTGCCTTGATATTTCACGTCTCGCTCTCCAAACCCTGATTCACAACATACTCTTCACAAAAGAGGTGTGAATACTTTGATCGGCCTAAACAATATCAAAGATGAGGTCACCAAAAATTCAGCACAAAATTGATAAAATTTGGCCTCAATCAGATTCAAACCTACACTGAGCTGCAAAACTTCAAAATTCCAATTGCCAGTCCAGTGGCCAGATCAGCCTTGACATAGCCCTGGTTCTCCAGGAACATGAAGTCTGGAAACACCAAACTATTGAGGAAAAAGGTTGAGGGAGAGCAAATACAGACCCCCAGCATGAGTCCAGTTGTGTGGCTACCAACACTCACCTCTCTAGTTAAATATAAACCAGGTGTAACTGTGCAAAGGGGCAGGAATGTCCTTCTGCTCATCTAGAAACATCTGAGCCCTTTAACTTACGTTTTTAGTGGCGTCTTCTTCTTTTTTGCAGGTTTATTCAAGTTGTCTCCTTCAGTTCCATTTGTTTCATTGGCATTGGCTGGTATCTCAAAGGAAGCTGGAGATTTGGAGGGTGAGTTGGGTATCTTAGAAGATGTCTTGAAAGGGTCAATAGAGTCCTCACACATCTCTGGCTCAAAACTGTACGTTTGTTGAGGCAGTTTGGGCGATTCTTGCATTTTTGTACTAGATGAGAAGGGGTTAAATTTGGGATCATCCCACTTGTCAATATCAAAAGTGTAAGAGCCTTTTGTGATAGGGATTTCGTTTGGATCAGTGGGGGACTTGGTTGGTGTGGTTGGAGCATTGTCAAGCTTTTCCACTGATTTTTTAGTCTTTGGCCTCCGTAGCGGCATTTTAGCACCAGGCTTTTTCCCTGCTCTTTTGGGAGGAGGAGTGCTCTCCTGCTGGTCCTCACTCACCCCTTTTTCTTCAGAATAATCAAACTCCAGCCTCACTGCAATGCCTTTGACTGGAGGGTCTTCTGGTCCTCCAGTGTCTGGAGGAGTCACCTCCCCAGCCTCTGGTGCCGTTGTAAGAGGTAGCGTTTTCCTACTGGCAGGGGGAGAGTTTTGTACTTTGCTGCCTCCAGTGCTAAACGCACTGATCCCTTCAATACTGTCTGGATCCAAAGGGCTGGATCCTTCAGGCACGGGTGGGGCCTCCTGTTTCTCAGCAGAGATTTTAGAAGGTTCAGTACATTCGAGCTTTACTGAGTCAACCTTTGCTTCCAATACTGGTTTATCCTCACCTGCTTGGCCAAGGTCAGATGGTTCCTGTGGTGTTTCCTTCACTGGTGGAGCATCCAGAGACTTTTTTGCCGACTGCTTCTTTTTTAAGGAAGCTGGTCTGGATTTCTTTGTTCTCTTGAGGGTACTGGAAGCACTACTTGAGCCAGTACCATACACATCTGCTGCTGGTGCTAACGTCTCACTATTGCCCAGATAAGATGCTCCATCAAAATCACTTGCTTGCAAGCTGAGAGATCGAGACAACGTAGATTTGGAAACTGGGACTGAATCGGTAGATTTTCTTCGAACATTTGCTTTGGGATCACGATTCTTTGACTCTGGAGAGCTGGGTCCTAAGGCATGGAGAGAATCCACAAACTCAATGTTATCAAAGTCCAAGTTGTAGGTCCCACTGCTGGCTATTGGCTTGTCCTCATCGAAGACAGTGGAGAAAGAATGGGGAGGGGGGCGAAAAGGGCTTTCTTCAACTGGTTCACTGTGTGGCACATCAGTTACAGGAACAGTTTCTGAAGATAATCCTGTGGGAACAAACACAAAAGTCTGTCAACTTAAACACGTTTTTTTCAAACTGGGGCTTCATAATTTTTTACCATAATATTACTGCAAGTAAAAACAAAAACAACAGTTAAAAAAATACAAAACATAAAAAGAATGCTAAGCAATGATTAAAGGGCATACAAACCAAAGCTCTCTTTCCATATATCAGCTAGATTAGGGGAAAAAAAAAAAAATTCTGTTCTGCCCAGAAAAGGATTCAAGGCAAGTTTCATGAAAACACAAAATATGGATTTACAACAGCCTCTAGAGCATCTCTTCTGAATTAATTACCACTTAAATCAAGAGGTGGATATTACTAACTAAGCCAAATGCCAGCAAAACTGGACATTAAGCACTTTATTACTGCTGTTTTCTACTATTACAAAGAGTTCACAGGACTGAGCTCTCACAAAATACATTCCCTGTAAACTGACTGGTGCTTCAGCACTTACATGTTGATCCTAAGTTTTGTTTCCCATGTGCTATTTTTACCAGTTTCCCAGAGGAACATTCTTTCCTGTCCACAACCTATGAATGCTGCTCCTCTCTCTGCCCCAAGCAGTCAATACACTGTACTTTGAGCTCATAATTCCGTGTATATAATGAAGAGATGAATCACTGAGAATTTCCTATGAAATAAATTATGGCAAAGGTAAGACAATTAGTCAATTAGAGTACTGCACAAATATTCTCTGTTGAAGATCTTCCTTTAAAATAACACTAGAATCTCCCTACAAATTATTTAGAAGACATTTCTCAAAGTGCAGCTCTAATTCCTCAATGAAGAGAAAATGTATAGAGCTAATTATATGTTAAAACTGTGAACCCAGCAGCTTTTCATTGTAATTAAAGATTTGCTTATGGAATGGAATCCTAAAAACATTTGTAGACATCTCTTGACTTGGGATGTAAAGACTGCATTGGGCAATGTAGAAAATAAACAGTGTCTATCACAAAAAAAAAAAAAAAATTATGGTCCTTCCTGCTTTCCAGTTCACACATGTTCATTACTAAAGTGTTTTACAAATTCTGAATACGTTCTGCTTCTGCTGTGGTTGTGCTGCTCCCTATGTGAGTGTCACATAGTCACCTCTGCCTGTGTGTGTGTGTCCCAGTCAGGGCACTGGAGACCTGGGACACCTCTCTCCAGCACAGCTCCAGCTGGGGTCCTGGGGTAAACCAGATGCTCTGAGCTCCCACTGACACGTCCTGGAGCAAAACCCCCTACTGACTGTTTCCTATGGAAGCAACATGACATTCTTCATCTTGTCAATGTTTTAAATTATGCAATTATAAACAGCCAAGCAAAAACAAATGCTTTTCTCATCCTTAAACGATTTCAGAAAAAATTATGCCTTTTTCATTCCAACTTTGATATGTTTTGCAAAGTAATTTCCATTTTAATTTCCCATTAATGTTGTTAATAAAAGCAATGCAAGCAATCAATAATTACTTTTAGTCAGAAGCTGTGAATGGATTAAGAACAGAAAAAACCACTTTTTTTTTGTTTGTTTGTTTCAGGGGAAATGACATGTCTACATAGAGATTACAAGGATTATTATTTATGGATGTAGAGGACAGAAAGGATTTGAGGACATTGGACACATTTCCCAAAGCAGTACCTTAGAGTGGCACCACTTATTTCCAGGGATTGTCACAGGAGTGACAGCTGAACAGCTTCTCTTGTAAGATTGTGGAAGCTTACTGAGCTACATCAATTAAAATAATATTTTAATGAGTTTTTCTGCTAATTGGATGCTAATAACATGGCAGTACTTCAGGGCAGTTTATTTTTCTCCTTAATCCCCACTGGGCTGGTCTTGGTTTCAGACTGGCTGAGTGGCCATTAATTAGACTTGATTTGCTGGTGCTCACTTCACTGAGACTTCTGTTCAGGGGACTCAGAGAGTGCTGTGAAACTCCAGCATTAGACTGATCTGTGCATTTTACACTGACATGGATATGAAAGACATTTGGGGGAACACATTACAGTAAACACTGGCATAGCTGGAGTATGTCAGCAGAGTACAAATGTAGGTCAGCATGGCAGTAAAAGGGGGATCTGAACAAGAAACCATCTGCAATTACGTGTTGTTTTCATTCCAGCATGAGCCAAAGGCCTCAACAGGATTGAGGTCCCTTGTTCAAAGTCAGCACAAGCATGCATTTAAATAAAATAAAATAAACTGATGCCCTGCAGGACTTGGACTGTAAATAATGGGTGTAGTAGAGCTGAGGTTAGGGATGCATGGCAGCAGCAGAGAGAATGTATGAGGCTTTCCAGCTGCTCAGAGAAGAACAGCATTCAAATCAGGTGGGCTCCTCATTATGCACAGCTTTCATCTTCTGTTACTGCTGATTTCACAACTTCCTCCTAATCAAATCCTTTGCTTAGATTATAGATTTCTGCAGAACTTCGCTCAACTGGCTACTGTGATATTTAAATTGTTTCTTTCTGAAACAGGATGTGAAACTGTCTCAGGAAACATGGCTTTTGGTAGCACTGTTAGACTCTTCCAGCATTACACCAGAACTGGCTCAGTACTGGTAACAGCAGAAATACTGGAGAGAAAAACATGAGAGTTGGAGCTATTCAGCCTGGAGAAGAGAAGGCTCTGGCAAGACCTTAGAGCACCTTCAAGTGCCTGAAGGGACTCCAGGAAAGCTGGGGAGGGGCTTTTCACCAGAGAGGACAGTGACAGGACAAGGGGAAATGGTTTTAAACTGAAAGAGGGGAGATTTATGTTGGACATCAGGAAGAAATTCTTCACCATGACGGTAAGAAGGTGCTAGAATAGGTTGCCCAGGGAGGCTGTGGAAGCCCCATCCCTGGAGGTGTTCAAGGCCAGGTTGGATGAGGCTTGTGCAGCCTGGTCTGGTGGGAGGTGTCCCTGCTCATGGCAGGGGGGCTGGAACCGGATGGTCTCTAAGGTCCCTTCCAACCTTCACCGTTCTATGGTCCTGTGATTCTACTCAGGATGGCAAAGCACAGCTTTCTTACCACAAAGAGACAGCAAGACCTTCCTTGACACTAACAGCCTATTCAGAGAGCAGTCCCATTTGTCCTTTTACAGCTAAGAATTAAGCAAATCAGCATTACTAATTACAGTACTTTATTAGAATGCAATTTGATTGCAAAGGAACACACTACAACACGAGCTGTGAAAATTAAGGCAGGACTTGGCCTAGAGAGGGGCCAGCACAAGGTTTTAAGAAGGTTTATGCCTTTTATTGGTGCTGAGAGTCACCCACAATTTATACTGGTAAGAACTGCCTACTGGTAAGAGCTGCTCACAGGTAGATATTAAGTTTTACAAAGCATTTCAAGAACAGGAAGTGCAGCAGGAAATATTATGTTGCCATAAAACCACATGCAATTCCTGGAAAAAACCCTCTCATTTCATGAATTAAAAAAGAAGGTCCATGTTCTGCTCTTCCATCAAGGAATTTCTCTGGACCAGCTACAAAAACCAAAACCAATCCCAAAACAAACAACGACAATAAAAGGCCCCATACTTCTTGTATCCAGATGATGAGACCACTCAATAAGAGCTGCACAGCAAGTTTAATGCTTGGCATTTTCACCTATCACCTCTTACGGCAGAATCAAAAGTTACTAGAAAGATATTACAAGCCCTTTTGCATGAATAAACAAAACAAATGTCTGTTGTCAGCATTAATAAGGAGGAATTTAAAAAAATAATAAACAAACCTTTTCTAGTCAACTACAGCAATGTTGTTCTTGTATGTTATAAAACAGACATGTTTCCATAAGATTTGCAGGCAACTCCAACATTTTTTAAAGGTATTTTAAAGAAGAAAATGAAATATCTTCATGAACTATGAGCTTATCTGAATAATTTCTTTATGAATAATGAAAATATGCTAAGGGGTTAGAATATATAAAATACTTCTAGCTATTTAAAAATATTTTTCCTTTTAAATTACAACACATAATTCTAGCAGTGCATTGTGTGATAGGGCAGCTGAGCATTTTATTCTATGTTGAAGTATCTTTAAAATAGGGGGGAATCCAAATAGGCTGAAAATAGGTCTTAACACTGCTGAGCTGGAAAAAAAAAATAATTAAATGCTCTTTTGAAAGGTTTAGAAACAAAATTTAACTAGATCTAACAAAGCAAATACAGAAGAATTTAAATCCTAGTTATTTTCTGGAAAAAAGCAAACAAAGAAATCTTTGGAAAATGCATGCACCCACATATTCCTTTATAATGCAATAGCTCAGTAGACGAGTCCATTTTGCCTATAGCATACAGGATCTGGATTTACCTAATACTAGAAGTTTTAAAACAGCTTATTTCAAGTTCCTGTTTGTTATGAGTTGCCTTTGAAATTTTAAAATAAATTAGTAGTGTTCTTTTTTTAATTACTGAAAAAATACTTTTTATCCTGAGACAAAACTTTGGATATAAAGTTTATCTTCAATTTTTCTGTGTCAGGCTTCAAGAGGAAAAACATGGAGAAGGATGTTTTTCTACCAAAAATTTGGTTTGCTTTGTTTGGGTTATCATCTCTGCTGGAAAGCCTGACCTCAATTTCCCTGGCACCAAAAGGACTTAAATGTAGGTCTCCCATGTCCTGATCACTGGGCTGTAATGCACAGAGGGGACTCCAACTCTCACATCTCCCCTGTGTATATAATCTGAATTCAATAATGAACTGGGAACTGTGGTGGAGGGGTGGTAGAAATGTCCCTGCCTAGGCAGGAATTCCTAGATAGAAACAGGGTATTTGGGAGAAAGGGCTTGGGGCACTTTCTGGTGCTCAGATGGATGGAACAAGGGACAAGAGGACACTGCTATGAGAGGCTGATGAGACAGTCAACAATAATTGAAAATACTACCAAAATAATAATAAAATTACAAAGTAGTAATTAAAAAGCAATAATTAAAAAGCACTCTTAAAGTAATTTGCCTGGAAAGTATAATCCACTTTCTGGGATTCAGAGGTAGTTCCCATACATGCTCTCTTACTCCTCTTCCTCCCGCTTCTTGCCTGTAGACTGACTCTCCTCTTCTGCTCTGCTGCTGATGGACTGGAGCCATGCAGCAGGTTTTACTCCACAAGGAGCTGGCACAACCCCAGGATGAGTCGAACTGCATTTCACTTTCATCATATTTATTAAGCTAGCGTTGAAGTCAACCTAATTAAAAACTCCACTCTTGGCTTCCCAGCAGTGGGGTCCAGCTGCTGCACTAATGATATCATGCAGCATAACTGCAACCGTCTGCATAACTAATTATTCTCATATTTAGGTGAAATAATCCTTGAAAAAAAAACACCTACTATGCTTCCTCCTTCCACCCAAGCACACGCTCTATCACCAGCCTCATGTAGGAGACAAAGCCATGCAGCTGGTGATCCAGGAGCCCAGCTGGAGGTTGCTGCCTCTCCCTGGGTCTGTGCCAGGCTCTCAACTGCCCAGATTCCTTCTCATTTCCTGAAACCTATTTATTGAGCTGTATGGTACCAAGGAGGAATTCTGCCTCAACTGCCCATAATCCTGAGGAAAGGACTCATTCTCTTTGTGTGGTGCCATGTGCAGAACTGATGAGCTAAATAAACTATAAAATAACTGTTACCCAGGCAGTTTATAAAGTACAAAATGTTTTGACTGTTCACGTTTCTGAAGCAGCATGCAAACACCTAAGCTGTAGCTGGGCATTATTAATTTCTTCTAAAGATTTCCAAAGCCAATGAATGCTTTGTGTAGCCCTCCCACAACTGAATTTTTTCTGCTTTATGCATCTATCTTCCCTCGCATAAATAACCCTCTTGTATAACTGCATTTTGCATCAGTTTGGGATGCTGAACACTGCTCTAGTCGTTTGTGGTGACTTGGCTCTCGTGGACGGATCTCATTTGCAATATTCATAGAATCATACAATGGTTTGGGTTGGAAGGGACCTCAAAGACCATCCAGTTCCAACCCCCCAACCATGGGCAGGGACACCTCCCACCAGCCCAGGTTGCTCAGAGCCCCATCCACCCTGCCCTTCAACACTGCCAGGGATGGGGCAGCCACAGCTTCCCTCGGCAACCTGGGCCAGGGTCTCACCACCTTCACAGCAAAGAATTTCCTCCTAATATCTAACCTAAATCACCCCTCTTCCAGTTTTGATCCATTACCTCTTGTCCTCTTATTACAGGCCCTTGTATATTAAATGTTTTAATCTCTGCCATTCGATGGCCTTCATCATAGTTCACACTGGCTAATAAAAAATAGATACATCCAGTTTTCTACATTTCTTTAGAAATACCTGAAAGAAAGGATGGGGAGATGTGGGATACAGGGAGGCAAGAGTCACATATGCCTAGGAAGCACATGTGTAATCAAGGGTTTGAAGATAATCTACAGCAGTAATTAAAAACACATTCTGATCCTGTTTAGCATGTGTTCTTTTGTTCTCTCAGAAGTTATTTTGTAATCACTAGATTGCAAAAGATTAGAAAAATTAAAATAGATGGCGAATGAGTAATGTTGTGTACTGCAGTGAAGAGGGAACTGCAATAGCAGATTGGAAAGTGTCAGGGAGTCTCAATTTTTCATTTTCCTTTTCTGGAATCAGTTTGTTGAACATCTTTCTAGCTTCTTATAACCTTGTATCATAAATCACAATCTTAAAGAGCATTCTTAAAGCATGAGTCCCTAAATGCCTTTCGTGGCTAGAGATATTTGTAACTTATTTGACACTTTCCCAAAGGTTTAAATCCAAACTGGATGTCCTTCGTAACACACACACTAGCCACAGACATTATTGCCTTTGTCCACTGCTAAACACACCCTCTTCTACAGTGGAAATGGAAGCTTTAAAGCACTGCCTGGCAATGCTGTGCGTCTTTCCAAATGAAATACAAGTGAACAGTTGTCTGTAATTAGAGCAAAATTACCTTTATATAATTTAGCCAGGTGATCAAGATGACTTGACTTTCAGATAGGAATAAAAGACAGCATAATGGGGAACTCAATCTTAAAACTGTTGAGCTGTCATCTGGCAGCCCAAACAAAGCTATTTTGGGCTAATCAAGTACTCATATTCCATTACTCAATTTGGAGAACAAAGAACATTCTGGGGAGGGAAGGGACTTCTTTGGTTTTTTTAAGCACAATATTCCCTTTTTATTTTCCCAGATGTACCAATTTCTATATATGCATATTATACACACATTTGCACATGCTTCCCTGTTCCTTCCATAAAGCTAATATAAATATTGTTCTAATGGGCTTTTTGTTCACCTTCTGTTTCAGGGTACAACACATTTGAAAATAACATTTTGTTAATTGTCACAGTTAATGGTGCTCACCCAGGTACCTGCATCTGCACCTGGTATCTCCTTTTTCTACTCATCTGCCTCTATAAATGTCCTACAAATCTGAGAAGAGGGACTGAAGTTTCCCTCAAAAAGGAGAAAAGTTTTGCTTGAAAGCTCCTCTTTTCTTTATTATTTATCAAATGTTGTGAACAGATTATCCAAAACTTTATTTCAGGAGGTGAGAGGGTTTTTCCTCCCAGCATGGATAATGCCCAGCATGCACTGACTAACCTTCCAGAAGACATTTTATTAGTGTCAATTCCTTGCCTGTGCTTACACAAACACCTCCCTGCAGCTTTACCTCCCTCACTAACCTGTCCCACTCGTTACAAGCTTGTTACCTGTGTCTTCCAAGGGCAGCTGGGGTTTTATCTCTTGTTCTGCAGTATCTGCTGCAACTGCTGCTGCCACTTCAGGGGGTGGCTGTGGAGGTGAAGGTGGTGCCTTTACTGGTGTAGTGGACTCCGGGGTCTCAAATGCTTCTTCAGAGTCAGAGCTCCTGGGAAAAAACAAACGAGAGACTAATGAGCAGAGTCAAGGTTCTTGTTGGCAGGTCTTCTTGGAAATGCAGGGCTTTCTGAGCTGATGACATTCACCTCAGCTGTCGTGCTATCTCTACATTTCCCAAAGGAGACCATACATGGCAGTATGGTTTCCAGAATAGAATACCATGGCTATGGTCTTTATAAGTCTATATAGTCTATATATGAAGCCTTTATGTCACTTAAGACACCTTGTCTACAAGCAAGACTTCTTGTCTACTTCAAAACTAAGGGCTTGCAGTGAGATGACAAAGGGTAATAGATTAAAACTGGATAAGGGAAGATTTAGGTTAGATATTAGGAGGAAATTCTTCACTGTGAGGGTTGTGAGCCCCTGGCCCAGGCTGCCCAGGGAAGCTGTGGCTGCCCCATCCCTGGCAGTGTTGAAGGGCAGGTTGGATGGGGCTTGGAGCAGCCTGGGCTGGTGGGAGGTGTCCCTGCCCATGGTTGGAGGGTTGGAGCCAGATGATCTTTAAGGTCCCTTCTAACCCAAACCATTGTATGATTCTATGATTCTTTGTGTTACAAAAGTAAACACACTTGAAAATAAATCTGTCCTGCAGATCCTGCTTTCCAGTGTGAAGGCAGCTTGACCACACAGGCAGGAAACTGTCCTTGGCACATGTGTAGTTAGAAAAAGAAAAATTAAAAAAGTATTCTCAAGAGAATTTCATAGCTGCATCAAAAACCCCATCCAAAACAACATCAAATTTATGTGTGCTCCTACAGAGAAAGCAGACATGGAGATATCTGAGGTGCAACAAATCCTTGTGCATCTTCTGCTTGTAGCAAAATTTCACCATAGCCCATTTTGAACAGTAAGGGTATGGGTTTGTTACATGAGGTCAGGCAACCTGCAAAATGCACCAGGGTCCTGGCATTGCCCATAATCCTTTTCTAGAATTGTGTGCTCACACAGACAGTAAAGCTGTAGGGACCACAGTGGGTTGGTGCCAGCCCAGGAAGGAAACAGCAGCACCCAGAATAGAACCATCCAAATGAAACACAAGTTTGAAAGGCAGCAACTGTACAAAGTGATGGGCAACCTAAACCACACAAGGACACACCATTTGCTCGTAAAGCACTACAGCCTTAGGAAACTGTCCCAGATCTGAAACCTATAGATCTTTTTTGTTTTTAAACCAAGATGTGACCAAAGTTTAACTTTTAAACATTTTTCCTCAAAGCCTTTTTTGTGGGAGCAAGGAATACAGTAACAATGGTGTCATACACAAAAAACACTGAACACATGTTCAATAAGCATTGCTCTTGGTCAGATGCAGATTTTTACTGCTTGTCTGTAATAAAGTGAATTGCATATGACAGTTTCTTAAAGGACAGGACTGATTTGCTTACTTGCAGTGATTGTTTCCATGGCCATAGTCTCCACAGCTCCTCACAACTGTCCACACCCCGCATTCCAGTGCAATGGAGATAAAATTTGCCATGAAATGAAAAGCCACTTCATCCCCTCAAAACAAGCTGTTCTGATTCAAGCACCCCTGTAATTTTGTTCAGGTTAAAAGGTAACTAACTCTGAGCTGCCAGATTCTGTTCTATTTCTCAAAGCTTGTGATTATTTTAAGCAGCTGGAAGTCAAGAGAAGTATAAGCACAGGATTTGCATTCGATTACACTTGCCTAAATCTATTGCAGCATGAAACCTTCAGGGAGCTGGGGAAGAAAAGACCCCAATGTCACCCCTAAGAGCTCGAGATGTACAGCAGGGCTGATCCTCCCCAGCTGTTTCTGCAGAATCCCCATGGGAGTTCCCACCCCCTGGCACACCATCAGGGTACACGCCGTGGCCTGACACCCACCCCTGTCTCCCTTGTCTCATCACCCCTACTGTGCAAAGCAAAAGGAGGCCTACCAGCTAATAGCTTTGCATATTTGCATTACTTGGGGATTTTTGGAAATATTATTTTCCCCAGTCTTGTGTCATCACCTGAGGAACTGCTCAAAAATAGTGTGCCTGGCTTTCCATTGGATCTATTGTTGCAGGTCCTCAAAATACCCCTTTGTGTCACTGCTTAAACCGTGCTGGTTCATCAGGCCACAGGAAAGTCAAAATGGAAGAGGTAGGCTGCAGCATTTTAAATTATATCCCTTCAAAGATGCACCATGGTTTAAGTTCAAAATATTTTAAGCTTAAGATCAGCTGCAAAGAAAGAGCTTCTGTAAATAAAACTGCACAATAAGTATTCAACAAAATACTTTCTCTTCCTTCCACGGAACTGGTTCAGGAAACTTTTAAGTTGAAGAATGAAAAAGTTCTGTGATATTTTCCCAGTAGAGAAATGAAATAAACTTAGAAATCTGTTATCTAAACAAACAAAACAAAAGGTAATTCATATCTCCTAGGCTTTCACATCATTCTGCATTGCACTGTACTTAATGCTATACTCTCTTAATTTCAAACCCAAAGTGTTACTTGCTCTGTAAACACTGAAACAATAATATTTAGACCCCTCTTTTCCAAACTGTCTGTATAACAAGTAACATTTATAGTAAATACACATATATATGTAATATAATTGAAACTGAAAACAGTATTTCCATGACCTACTCATATTTATAACTGCTTTGTTAAACTGGCTTGATGGAGGAGTTCTGTGTCCTCCTTTATTTAAATGATAGAGAGATTTAGTAGTGCATGTTTCTCTCACTTTTAAGGGAGACAACTTTGCTTACTTGGTCTCCTTCTTGGATACAGTGGTCATAAACATTTGAACTGAAGAGAAATGTCTCTTGTTTTTTCATCAATGTGAGATTCCACACTGGAGAACCTCCTGAGTCTGTGGACAGACTGTTATGGTGCCTGAGCTCCAGCACACAGATTTATTTTGCTAATGTTTAATAATCCCCCAAAGATTCTGATGCAATACTCCTCATTTTCAGCAGTGTAAATCAAGTAAGAATTGTCTTATCCATAACCCAAATAAGATTCTGATGCAATACTCCTCATTTTCAGCTGCACCCCTCAATAAACAGCAGTGTAAATCAAGTAAGAACTGTCTTATCCATAACCCAAAGGCTGCTCAGTCCGTTATGAGAAGGAATAGGGCTGGTAAAATATGATATTTAGCAAAGAAACATGAAGAGAAGCAGAATAACAGAAAAAAGTTCTTTGTCACAGCCTGGGATCTGGGAGAGAGCATAAAGCCTGGAAGCACATACCAGGACTATGCTCCAAGGAGGACATTACATATATCCTGGAAAAATGAGATCCTGTGTTCAATTTTCCTTAGTGAAAATACGGATGGTCTCTCTTGCATAGGATATTTTTAAGACTACAGTCCTACTTCCAAACCCTCAGAAAAGATTTTCCCAGAACAACAGGATTTCCTGTGAAAAGGAAATTACATTTTTCAGGCAGTTCTCTTCATAATGTCTTTTCTCTGAGAAACGTGGGGAATACACAGAACACAACAACAAGTAACAGAAATAATGCTGCTGTAAAGTTCATGGTGCAAAACAGATTGCCAAATTGTGACAGACCATGAGAACCAGCACCAAGTCAAAGCTGCACAAGGAGAAGCCACCACAGATCCAGCTGTGGGTAGGCTCTCATGAAAGGAAGGGCCTTTGTATCACCCAGAAAATTATACTGAAGCTCCACCCGGGGATGAAGGAGGATGAGATGGGATGCATGAATTTCAGAGATGGAGAACTCATTTGCTGGACCCAGCTCACAACACTGTGGAGTCAGACCATGTAAGTGCAGAGGCTGAGTCTGCAGGAGGTTGTGGGGCAGTGATGAGTGAAGGCTGCAGGAAGAAACATACATTTGTGCAACAGTTTAGTCAGCTTTGGAAATTAGTAAGAGCTTGTCTGTATAGCACATATCATAGCTTTCATCTGTAATCCTGTGCTTTTTGGGTATAACAGGCAAAACAGGTATAGACTGTAGAAGCTACAAAATGAGTAGGTGATAGTAATAGAGTACAAAATGACCAGGAGTATATTCCTTCAGTCCCTCTCTTTCATCTTCCCTCTTAAAAGATAGCCAGCAAACAGCAAATGTAACACATACAGTTGAGGTCAAGAAGCCTGGAAGAACTAAGAAATGCAAGAATCAGAGCAGAACAATACAAATTTCAGAACACTGCATCAGCATGTGGAGCAGGATCACTCCCACTCTCCTCTGGAAACTTTGAGGTCTTGCCCAGCCCGTTACATAAATCTCTGGAGGAAACACTGAAAGGAGTCACTAGTGCTGACTTCCCTTCTTCACCTTTGGCCTTGCGGAAACCCAGCCTCACAAGTTACATCACCTTCTTTTGTAAACCACAGATGCTTATAATTTGAAGTCCTCCCCGATTTCAGAATGAAAAATTGCCTTTTTATTTTGTCACTGTATCTGGGAAGCACCCAGTGAGCAAGAGTGAGATTTCTTTGTTCCGCTGCCTCTCCTCACTCTTTGCTCTCTTCAGGCACGACAGCCACTGATGTGAGGTCACCCCAGTTGCCACTTAGAAGCTTGATTCATTAAAAAGTAGTTTGCAGCAAAGCTGTGGCCTTCAGCCACCTCAGGAACCCTGCCACCTGCCTCGGGTTCTGCTCGTATTTCCAGGACAGCAGTGTAACCAACCCAAGTGTGCACTCCGGTTTTGTTTCACAGGAATGAAGGGGATGTCTGATTCATAAAAGAAACTTAAAAGCAGCACTTTGGCACCAGGACTGATGTGTTGTTTACTGATTGCCCTCTAGCTGTGGGGTGCAGGACGTTTGGAAAAGCACAGAGAAACTGAGGCCTGTCTCAGACAGCGCACGATTCCTACCTGATAAATCTTATCTGGCAATAACTTCTGAAGTCTTTACCTCAGATGCAGCTGCACTCCCTGAGGGAGGGGGAGAAAGAAATGGCTATTTTGCCTGTTTTTCCATCCCATCTTTTGATCCATGTGTCCTTTCCAACTGGCTGGATCTGCTGTTCAAGGGGAAACTGC